TAATACTTAAAAGAAAAAAACGGCTGTCCCACACTTATCATCATTCAAATATTACTGATAAATTCAAAAAGATATATAAGAAAATTTCCTTGATTTCAAGTGATTAATTGGTTATTTATTTGGGGTACAAAAATGAAGTTATAAAAACTGAAACATTTGATACACACTTATTGTTTTCCTGCACACTTATCAAGTATGTAAGGATGGGCATAACGTGACTTTAAATTACAAAATTAAATAAAAGGAAACGGAACCACAATTATAGTACTTGAATGCGGTTGTTTACATATTCTCTGTCTTGATGAACTCGCGAGCATTTTGGGGGGTTTCAGGTTTTCATTATGTGGAAAAGTGAAACTCTTTTTATTCTTTATTATTTTTTATAAACTCAACAATATAAATGTGCTCGTTAAAATGAAGTATTACTTTTAGTTTCGACTAAAGAGATTTGAAGGTACATGCATTTCAATTGCGTTACTTCCTTTTTATTTGACCGCGGATCGTAATATTTCGATTTACACATCACTCATATACATGAATAGGCGATGTGATAACATAGGAGCAATCAAAACAATATTAAACAAAACAGTTATTTGGAGTTAAAAAAACCAACATAAAATGAGTACATATACTGTGGACTGGGCAGATTTTCTTTCACTTCAGTCATTACGTTATTTCAACATTGTTAAATATCGGACAAAAATTAAATTATATGTACAAATGAAAACAAATATACAGCAAAGGTATATATAATGTTGAAAAATGATTAAGACCAATTTCATTTATAAGAAAAACTGGTGTTCGTTGATAAGGGATTTATTATGTAACTTTGCCCTTAATGAGGCATGGTTTTTATCAAAATGTTGGAAACACAAAAATATTTCTTAGTTAAATTAAACAAATAATTAAAATCAGTTTATTAAAAATTGGACTGGTAGACTAAATGATTCATCTAGAGCTTTATTTTGCAGATGCATTTTACAGATGTATAACCAGATTTGCATCTTTTGATACAATATCCATTTGCCTTATTGCATCTTTCATCAAGGCATACAATAGAACATCTGAACTGACGATACGATCCGAAATAACCAGTATCTCTATAACATAACCACACTGTAGCTGATGTACACGAGCCAGAGTTACTTGGACACATGTTGTTACATTCATAACCTTACTAATTACGTGAATAATCATTAGATTTCCCTTCTTAAGTAATAGCAGTCGATTAACAGGGACATTCTCCTGTTAAGAGCGAGCATGTATTATTGACACACTCTTTACCACATCGTAAATTAGATTTTTGTCAGTAATATAGCCAGTTTTGCATTCTAAATATTCATCACTATTCGTGCAGGTTTTGCAATTTTCCACACAAACATATGTGTATTTCTCCCCATAAAAACCGTCTTGATACCCAAAATAACAGTTCTGATTTGAACCACTAAATGTATATCTAGACAGTAGGTATTCCTACGAATTATAATTTGATATGATTACTAACTTTGAAGCAAGTATTTGCTTTGATTTTATTTGCATAACATTTTACAAAAGCTAAACACTTGATTGAATTCAGTATATTTTAAAGAATCTGATTTAAATATTTGAAATGTTTGGGTACACATAGGAATATATCAATGATCTACAAGTTGTATTTCTACTTTATGTTATTAGTATTCCAGATACAAATCTAATCTTTCATTCATTGATCTTATTTATCTATTTATCTTAACAAATTGTTTATCTTTACCAATCTGCACAGCTAGAAACAAAACAGTTGTATTTCTACTTTATATTTTTTTTTATCGTAGACATCCTGATACAAATCTAATATTCAATTTGATCTTATTAATCTATCTATCTTAACAATTTGTTTATCTTTTCAATCTGCTAAAAACAGAAATACCAAAAGTAGTCCCTCCATAATCACGTTTAAAATGAGAAAAACATTGAATAAAGAACAACAGTAATTGTACAGTAATTGTAACAAATACAATTTGACATTTTAACATTAAAGAGCATTCATATTTATCTAATTATTTACAACTTTTGGGAACCTTATCACCCATCTTGATTTAAGTACGATTGTTATATGAAAATTTATGTATATCTCTACAGGTGTATGTTCTATTTACAGAAATCGAAATACATCTTAGTATTTAATTATGGCAATTTATCTAAACATTTGTAAGCAAACATGATACAAGATTTTGGTTATATTCCAAACTGACTCAACTGAGGTTTTTTGACATAATGATACTGAAAATATTTTTTCCAGATAAATGAACCATTTGAAGTAGGTTTAAAACTAATCTCAAGTTGTGCAAAATTTCTGATCATTCGCGCACTTTTCCGGAATAATTATTCAAATTGTAAAAAAAATGACACAAAATGAAAGACGTTTAAACGCTTTTCACTCCAAACGGGCTAAGAAAAGCATAAAAATACGATTTTCAATTTATATCAAAATATATTTCTTAACTATCTTTGCATATATGCTTCTATTTATAGTGTCCCAGCTCATGTATGTAAAAAATTCTAATGTTATGTTTTTAGGCTTTTAACTTCAGTGGAGTCCCTTTAAGGCGACAATTTGTCCAAAGTCTTTGTAAGGAAAATTGATACCGCAAAACGTCTTATTTTAATGGAAAACAAAACGACCTTTACCATATTAATTGAATATACATGTAAATCATATAAAATGTTACCGATATGCTCAGTACTTTTCCCCAGGAAATCATTATAACCGCTTCCGTACGATGAATTAATGACCCCAAGAATTATTTATTAAAATAAATCTTTGTAGAATTCGAATAATCCGGTCATATTTATATTCTTAATCCCTTGTTTAAAACGTGTACTATAACATGCGGGAACCATGATCATTATAAAGTTATTTTCTTGTGAGTCTTTGAATATGGTTAAATATTGACCGAGGCGAAAGTTTAAGATTAAATAAAACACCACAAAAAGTAAAGCCTAATATTAAAAACAAGTTTTCAATCTACTTACCATTGCAGTGAAACTTTTGCCTATTATTGTGGAGTAATTATATTTTTGAATCTAAAGATATCCCATAAAGAAAAAATGCAACAATCTTAAATAGCCTATATGAGCAATGAATATGATTCTGATTCTATTTAGGAAAATTTCTGCCAGTGCATAAAATACTGCACCTAGTCATAACTGGTAAATCATGTCGTTTTTTTATATATAAATCCTCAGACAAATGTAAGTACATACCTTATATTAATAGTAGCTTAAACTATTGTATCTTATTAATCAAAAATAAATATATTTCGATAAGCAGATTACACAGTACAAGTAATTCCATTCATTTTCTTAAGGGATTCAATAACGTTATCTTATATTCATGTTCATCTTTTATAAAATGTACAACTTTTAAATGATTTTGTAAGAAAAGAGAATGGTTATCGCATACGAAAATAAATAAATAAATAAATAAATGAATAAAATACATTAATAAATATATATAATAAAAATACAAAATGTAATATATACAGCTCTACAGATCAAAAGCTATTCATCATTCAAGTGAGGTATGCTCATTGTTTCCATTTGTTTCGAATATATTTTTAACGGTTAGCTGTTATAATAGTGATGAACCAACAACTGATATTCTGCCTGAGATATAAAAGGACTGAAAAAATAACTATTGATATTTCGGCCCTTTTAACTTTAAGTAAATTAAATATGCTGTTCACTCTATAAATACACGTAATTTCAACTAAGTATGGGAGTAATCCCATCTTATCCCTATCACGGGGTTACGTACTCCTATACGAATGATAAGAATTATGGTACACACGTAAACACATGTACCAATAAAACTATAGATTAATTAACACTAGTTCCCATATAAATACAGTATGTTTTCAATGAAGTATATGCGCGCCCATATGGTTCATGGTCAGGGTATCGTATTGTAACATGGCCAGCGATTGGCTGAAAAAAAAGTGCAGGGAAAACCGTATGAGTCAATTTATACATGAGGTGATTGGATGAAAGTGGGGTATTTTTAAGTAAAAAAACTAATTTAAAAAGTAACACTACACTGTTTTCTGAAGAAAATGAAATATTTCATGAGTCTCTGTGATAATTTTGACTTGGATATTTGCATTTATAAAAAGTGTATGTCAGTCCTGTGATCAGCAGAAAATTTCAATGAAATGGGGGGTAATCCTCTTTGAAGTCATTTTGAAAAAAATTTGGTTGGCTACCCCTATATAACAGGAACATTTTTATGTGTCAGGCATTTCATTCTGCTAGAAAAATTAGCTCTTCAGCATGAAAACTCAACTTTAAGGTAGGATAAGGGACCATTTCTTATAATGTAAGTCAATGGAAATATCAATGTGAGTGTCTGACCTCATTCCGGTGGCGAGGGTAAACAAACCAAACACACACTATTGATATTTACCGACATTGCCTTGAAATTATAACACAATAGATTTTCATTTTTACCTGTTTAGTTAGTATATACCGTGGGCAATCACTTTAGCATTAATAAAACTACTAATATTAGCCATGTTTGCCATTTTTCAGACAATGATTTTGTGATTGTGCTATCTTGTTAATATATTCCTCGTTATTGACTTATCTGCACCGTCTTCTACGTGTCACCTTAAGTCATGTGATTTGATATTCTATTATAGTAACGTCCAACGAGTATATTGTAGTAGTATAACTATGAGATATAAAGATACACTCTCTGCTTTAATGTTAATTTAGCGACAATTTACTGCAATTAAATAAAAGATTATAAGACCACTTATATATCCAATAATGATTAAAACTGTTTGACATTGCATTGATTGCGTGTTGGATATGTTTATCTAAATTATTTGAAATAAGTTAACTCTGACATATGTTACAGGTTTTATTAATACAAAGCATTGTAATAATATTTAAAATGTATGATTAAATGTTAAACAATAGGCATCTATTCAAACGAGTACTTATCTATTGAATATGAAGTAAACAATTTTAATCGTTCATTTGTTATTAATTCTTTTTAAATCGTTTCAGTCATTTACACTACGTTTTGTTTATTTTAATGTTATATTGTTTTAGGAAATTTGTAGAATTCAGGCTTAACCAAACAAGTAAGTCATAGACAATTTACTTTATTTTTATGTATAAATTAAATTTTGTGTGATTAAACGTTAAAAGCATCACTTTTTTTGAATAAGCTCTTTAAACTGATCATCATTGTTATGAATAATATTAATTGAATCTGTTTTTTTCTTTCTTTATGTTCTCGGATTTAAACCTATATGATATGTAGAAGTTTTATGATCTGGAACTTGGATTTCATGAGGCGCGGAAGCAGTACAGATTTTAGATCATCGGGATACCCATATAATAACCATTTCAACATATACCTTGTCGAATTCAAACACTACATTTAATAAAGGCATACTGCAAGCAAAGTCGTTTCTGATCAAATTTTTAGTAGTATACAGATTGTTTTTTGCTGAGTAGTATCTAAGCATATGATACATGCATTGGATCTAGATACACATGCATATAAACCAAGTTATCAATATGGATGAAAATTACAGTATAGTGATACAGACTAGTTGAATTATTGAACTGCTTTTTTTTAAAGATTATAATTGAAGAGCATTTCAAACATCTTTGTTCAATGGTTCACGTGTGGCAACAATGAGTGGAACAATATCACCAGTGTTTCTTATATTGCTTTGCCAGTTTGGTAAGACTTATTAAAATACTTAGCTCTTAATTGTGAAGTCTCTGTATTAATACCTAAAACATGTAAACAAATTAAATAATAAATAATAAACAATAATAAACACTAATATAATTACAGAAATGCAAATGATTATATACTTTTAGAAATAAATGATTTTTTTTTTAAAAAGCTAGTACATGACGCCGTAGACGCCTGATAAATTAATTCTAAGGTATAGACCCTATTTTTATTTTTCCTGTATTTAAATCGAAATTAATTTATGTAGTATTCTAAATACTACATGTAGTAGTTTTTATCTGTTGTTAATTCCGATTTTATGTCAAATCGTCATTTTTTTATTAAAACTCTCTTTTGCATGATCGAGCATTTATATTTCAGGATTATCGATGCAGGCTTGTCAAGAGTGCATGTGTTGTAAGGATCCCTCATTTGCATGCGACTCAAATAAGACGTGTTTAAAAGGATGCATAGACGGTTATTACACGGAGAAATGCACAAAACAATGTCTGGATAACTGTAAAACCTGCGTTAATGGTAATGAATGTACAAACTGTAAAGCTGGTTTTTATACTAAAAAATGCACTTTGTCATGTGGTAAAGGGTGTGTTAATAACACATGCAATATATTGTCTGGTGAATGCGCTTGTTCGGGTAATAAGTATGGTGTTAAATGTAATGAAACATGCCCTAGTAACTGTGACACTTGCATATCAGCCACAGAATGTTCAAGGTGTATAAACACGGTGTATTTCGGGTCATATTGTCAGTATAGATGTTCAGTTGGTTGTGTCGATGGAACATGTAATAAAGGAACAGGGCATTGCATGAACGGATGTAAATCTGGTTATATTGGTGATAAATGTGACACATGCTCACATGGAATTCATGGTAAGGATAACAATTGTGTTTTAAATTGCCCGGACAATTGTTCTGCTTGTGTTTCGGCGACAAACTGTACCGAATGTAAGACCAACCTTTATGGTGAAAGATGTACAAATACTTGTCCATCTGGTTGTAATGGAAATTGTTCACGTACTGATGGTCGATGCTTTGACTGTAAATTGGGATTTATAGGAGAATTTTGTGACAAATGTATAAATGGATTATATGGGGTTAATTGTTCTAAATCATGTCATGAAAAAGAGCAACATTGCCAAGTGTGTTACACAAATAAATCAGGTATTTATCAGGGTTGTACGAAATGTGACAGTAAATATTACCTAGACATACCTTTTGGATATAACCATAGTATATGTACAGATTGTCCAAGTACCTGTGCAGACACGGTATGCGATAATACAGGATTATGTTCAAAAGGATGTGTTCGAGGAAAATGGAGAGATAAGTGTAATACTGATTGCGCAACAAACTGTGAAGTTTGTGACCAACACACTGGGACATGTTTGGAGTGCAATCATAATGCATTCTTACATAATTGTTCAAAACTCTGTAGCACAAATTGCACAAATACCGACAATGACCGAGTTTGTACACGGGATACAGGGAAATGTCTACATGGATGTAAATCAATGACAAACTTCGGGGAATATTGTAAGAAAAATTGTAGTGAAGTTTGCAACAATAAAGGCTGCGACTGGAAAACGGGACATTGCTTAGAAGGATGTGCAATGAACTACTATGGTTCGTTTTGCGGCAATTAATGTACCGAAACATGTCAATCAAATGAAAGCAACCGCATATGTGATGATATTATTGGTAATTGTTTGTATGGGTGCAAAGATGGATTTCATGGCGATAAATGTGACAACAAATGCAGCAGTCAATGTGTAAATGCAACTTGCGACCAGGTTACAGCAAAATGCTTGCATGGCTGTATTGACGGATACGAAGGACCGAAATGTGTTCTGGGTAAATGTAGATATCAATATAATTGATCATACTACCACGTAATTTCATGTATTCATAGTAAAACGTTATTAATTGTTCCAATGACATTATTTGATTTATCTGTTTATAGTTGATGTGTTGCTTTATTTGTCTCTGGTAAAATTGTGTTCGTAAATTAAAAGATGTTAACATTTAAAGGCGCAGTCCTATTACTTTTGGATGAATCCTTGTATGACTGTAAGATTTTTTTTCATTTCAATAGATCAGAACTCAATGGAAAGCAATCCATTTAGATGTTTTGTTGTTATTTTTAGCTATTCAAGGAGCTGAATCGGAAAAAAAGAAATCACTTGTTGTTATTGCAGCATCTACCGCTGCTGGTGTTGCTGTTATAGTATTGCTGGTGATCCTAGTAATTTGTCTTATAAAACGGAATCGAAGGTACTCACTATGGTTGAATTGGCTCAAGTATTTTCTAAATATATTTACATATATTTTTATTACGTTAGTTAATTTTCATTGAATGTTTCATTTTCAACAAAGCACATGTTTGTTTATGTCATAAGATAAAAGCAAAATTTAACACCAGGCAAGATTTCAGCAACTTAAAGTAATTCTGAAATATGAAAAAAATGTCTGGTGTTACTCTTTGCAGATTATCAAACGTTCAGTTATAAATTTAACAGAGCAATACATTGAATTCTTTTCTAGCACCGGTACTTGGCCAAAAAGGATATAGCACAGGTACACTTACAGGTTCTATTTTTGGGGTCATTTCTAGCTGGTGGAATTGTTGCAGTTACAGCTATATTTGCCTTCATCATATGGAGGCGGAGGTTTGTAGCATTCATGTTAATGTCTCTATATGTATATGTTTGATATGTTCCGTCGTTTTCTTATTTAAAATATGAAGATGACGGCACATTATTCTTATTTGTAATTTGTAAATATTCCCATTTTTTGTATTGTTTACTAATTGTTTTTTTTATTTCTAGGTTTGGAAATAAACAAACAGAAAATACTTCAGCTTCTGGTAAATGTCCTTCCAATGGTAGTACAAAACTACTTATCGTTGGCACTTTGTTTGCTATATATTCATATCTAAATTAACGTTAATCTCAGGAAGATAATAAAAACATAACTTACTATAATTTTATATATAAAATTAAAAATAATTTTATGAGATATCATTAACGTCGTGCTTCTATATAAGTAAGTCAAATGAAATATTAGTTTAATTGCTACATTGAGTCAAGTTCATAGAAATAATGCCATTTAAGTACCTTTTATGAATGTATTGTGTGCTTATTAGGGTGTTAAATGGCTTCTACGATTCAAAATTCTTCATATTAATTTTCATACAGATATTCCTCATGTAGATGGCTCTCCTGTTGCGTATGAAGATTTAAATTTGCGTGTCGACAAAGCATACAGTCAGATTACTACAAATCAGCAGATATCACCACCAGAAGCTGTCTATGTGAACACTTGATTTTAATTAACTTCTAATATTGACAAATGTTCGTTTTAGTGACAAATGTAGTTTTAATTATTTGGTTTACTATTTAATAATGCAGATGCTTTTCCGCAAGTGAAACTGAAGACAGTATGTTTACACCATAAATACAAAATACATTTTTATGCTTAAAGTAATATGATTGGTATGCACGTGTTTCTATTGACTATGCAACTTTAAACATTGTAAAGATGGTAGCATTTTGAAGGCAATGTGTATTCTGATCGTTCAAATATGTTTTAATTCTTTTTCATTTGATTAACACTATTTTCTGTGTTACAACTTATTAAATAAATCATCCATGGATAACATCAAACAATTTTTAACAAAAATATAAATTACCTAAACTTATTAAATAAATTAAAATATCAAATTAACATAATGACATATAATGGAATAAACGAAAGCAGCATCTTGAATAAAATGTTATATTTGTATATTCTTGTATAAAACTGAAAATGAAATATATATTAACTACAAAATCGAAGATGAAGCACGGCGACCGGCCTTTAAAAGGGTTTTTATCAAGATTAATCAACTGATAAATCCTCAAAAAATACAGTAAAGTTAGCACAACCCACGGTGATAAGCCTTTTAGAGGGTTATTATCTCAAGTTTACCTACGTTGATAGCCTCAGACAATAAAGTAAAGCTCACACAACCCACGATGATATGCCTGTTAGAGGGTTTTTATCTTAAGTCAAACAACGGCGATAGCCACAGGGAATATAGTTAAGCTCACTAAACCCACGGTGATAGGCCTTTAAGATGTTTTAATCGTTATAAAACCCAATGATAGACTCAGGGAATATACTCAAGCTCATATAAACAACAACATAAGCCTTTTAGGGTGTAATCATTGCAATTAAACCCACGTTTTTCTCCCTTCACTGTGGCTATCGCTGTGGGTTTATTCCCGATCTTCGTTGGTTTTGTGAGCTTAAAAGTATTCAATGAGGTTATTACCGTGTGTTACAATGTCATAAGTACCCTCTAAAAGGCATACAAATATGGGCAATGTGAGCTTTAATGTATTCCTCGGAGCTATCAGCGTTGGTTTCATAGCAATACGGACCCAATTATTGGCTTGCCACCTTGTGTTATTTGAGTTTTACAGTATTTCCTGAGGCTATCACCGTGGGTTTCATTGCGAAAGAACTCTCTAAAAATAAACTTTCTCAGTAGGTCATATGAGCTATACCATAACTTTTGAGGCTATAACCGTGGGTTTTATTACGTCAAGAACCCTCTAAAAGGCTTATTACCATTGGGTGTGTGATTTTTACTTTGTTCAATGAGGCTAGTCACGTGTAATATTGCGATAAGAGCGCTCTAAAAGGACTATCACAGTTGTTTGTACTAGGTTTTCTATACTCCATCAGGCTATTCTTGCGGGTTTCATTGCGTTAAGAACCCTCTAAAAAGCGTATCACCAGGGGTTGTGTGAGCTTTTCTGTATTCCTTGAAGCTAACCCCGTGTATTTCATTGAGGAAAATACCTTCTAATCATCATGGGCTGTGTGAGCCCTACAGTATTTGCCGAAACTGTCACCGTGCGTGTTACTGTGGTAAGAACCCTATAAAAGGTCTGTCACTGCGGGTTGTGTCAGCCTTACTGTATTCCCCGTGTAGCTTCTCATCTGCATGAATCCCACGGATGTTTTTTAAATTTAATCAAACACAAGGTGATAGCCTCAAACAATGTTGGTTATCTAATACAATCCAAGGTGATAGACCTTTCAGAGGGTTCTTATCACAATGAAACCCGTGGTGATAGATTACAGATATGCAGAAAAGCTCAAACAACCCATGGTGATAGGTCTTTAAGAGAGTTCTTATTGCAAAAATACAGCGGTGATATCCTCAGGGAATTGGGTACAGCTTTGACAAAATCCACTGTGAAAGATCTTTTAGATGGTTTATATCGTAATAAAACACAAGGTGACAGCCTCAACGAATACTGTTAATCTCACACAACCAAAAGTGATAAGCTTCTAAGAGGATTCGAATAGCAGTTAGTTATAAACCAACGATGATAGCTTCATGATATACAGTTAAGCTCCATCTACTCATCTCATAGTTATAGGTCTTTAAAAGCGTTATAGTCGCAATTAAACCCACGGTGATAGCCTCAAGGAATACAGTAAGGCTCAAACAATCAATACAGATGCATTTTATAGAGGGATCTAATTACAATGAAACTCACTGTCATATTTTCATGGAATTCAGTAAAGCTATCACAACTTACTATTATGGGCCTCTTGGAACCCACGGTGATAGCCGCCTCGGGGAATACCATAAGGCTCACAGAATCCATTATGGTGGACCTTAAATATTTACATTAAATATGTTTTTTTGCAAGATAACCCACAGTGAAAGTCTCATGGAACACAACATTCATTCTAAAAGGTCTTTTAGATAGTTCTTACCGCAATCAATCAAACACTGATAGCCTCAGTGAATACAGACAGTAAAGCTATCACAACCCACGGTGATGGGACTTTTAGGAAATTTAATCGGAAAAGAACAAACAATGATAGCCTCAGAAAATATTGTAGAGCTCATAAAACCCATGGTTATTAGACATTTTAGAAATCCTGTATCATTGTCAGACCAACAGTGATAGTCCAAGAACATACAGTAAAGCTAACACAAAAAGATAGTGGAAAGCAAAAATACTTGAATAAAGCCCAACACGGCAAAATGTAAAATGTTGCATGCTAGGTTTGATTGAGTCTGTACAAAGGCGTACTGGAAAGTGCAAGTTACCGTCCACGCTCCTGAGCACAGGCTTAAGAAGAACTCAAAATTTATACACGATGATAGGCCTTTCAAAGGGTCATTACTGCAATAAAACTCACGGTGATATCCTAAGCGAATACTGTAACGCCCACAAAACAAACGGTGATTGGCCTTGTAGAAGGTTCTTATCACAATAAATCCCACAGTGATAGCTACAGGGAATAGATTAAATCTCACACAGCCCTCGGTAAAATGCCTTTTAGATAATTTATATCGCAATACAACACACGCTGATACCCTCGAAAAATACATTAAAGCTTACACAACCAAATATGAAGAGTGTTCTTTTTGCAATAAAACACACGTTGATAGCCGCAGTGTAGACAGTAAAGCTTGTATTACCCATATGTGTATGCCTTTTAGAGGGTACTTAAGACATTATAACACACGGTGATAACCTCATCGAATATTTTAAAGCTCCGTATCTCAGATTATCCCATGGTGTTAACCTGAGGAAATACATTTAAGCTCATCAACTCATGGTGATAGGCTTTTCAGAGGGTTTTCATCTCAACTTCATCCTACGGTGGTAGCCTGAGACAATACAGTGACTTATGACATAAACTTTTCCCTAAATGATTAACTGAAAGTTAACAAAACGGAATCCATAAAGAACTCCAAAACGACAATTGAAAATGTAACAGGTTCTGTTTGATTGAGCGTGTTCATGGACGGTACTGGAAAGTCCAAATTACGGTCCACTCTCCTAGCACCATTTAAGCAGCATTCAACATATAATGTTTTTGAATTTAAGAAAGATCCGGAAATGTATTCATAATTCACTCATCATTTTACCTCCAATATGACACGAAAGAGTTGACAAACCTTCTTTAAACGTTTATTGAGATGGTTGATTTTCACATGCGCTAAAACTATTAAGATGTAATATCATTGGTCCAAACAGTAGTTAATAGAACTATTTATTATTAAACCATATACACTTGGTGAAGTATCATATTCAATGGGTAAATCGGATTTTCCCTATCTAAAAATAGATTGAGACGCAATGACCATACATTGTAACATTTTATTATTCGGATTTATTGTAATGTGTAGCTGTGAATGATTAAAGATATAGATTTATTTCATGCTTTCCAGTGTTTTACTGTGATATATCAGATGATTATATTCTGATAAACCACTAGTGAAATTTATAAATATAATTTTCACTGTAGCCGGACTATATCTGAATGCCTATGAAAAGAATATCATAACTAAATGGAAAAACAGGTAAAAATAAATGCCATCATATGTAAACTTTGCATCTTTAGGAAAAGAAAGTGGATGTCATCATACATCATGTTAAAAATATAACAAAATTAAAGAAAGTTTAACAGAACTATATTTCAAAATTGATGATGTGACGTCATGATGTGATTATGTCATAAGGAGAATGCACGACGTTATGCGGCAAAATCAGTAAAATAAATACATAAAATCACTTAAAAAGCATACAATAAAAAGAAAATGTAGTTGTTTTACATATAAAATTGAAATATATTTCATTCGTGAACACCAGCTATGATATTTTTTCATCTGAAGTTCACTCAGTGAAATATATTTCAATCTTACATTCAAAACAAACATATATCCTCTATATATACAACAATAATCATGAAATAAGTAAAACTTGTGATAGTAATGAATCGTTTTATTGTAATCTTATTGTTCTACTAACCACTAAAACACTTTTAGATACCGCAAATACTCGTACTGAGGGCTTAAAAACGATGTATGTAAGATATTATGCTTATTATCTGAGACAATCTTATATAACAGTTCAATATACATGCAATTTCTAACATGCAGACATATTATCACAAGAGCGATCAGTAATCACATGTGTCGCCTCATGATGGCCAATTTCATGTTGGGACAAAGTTTGTGACAGACGGACAGACAGACGGACAGTGCACAACTAAACTTGGTACTGATCATTCCTGTAAAGTTGGATAAAATTGCACCAGTAGTTTATGAGGAGTAGGCCGGACAAGCTTTTGCGTATCTGGCAACACACAGAAAAAAAAACCTTTTTATCAAAGGGCCATAACTCGGCCAAAAATCATTCAACCGGAAAACCCGTGCAATATGCGCAAGGACTTGAGCTACAGATCAATCCTGTAAAGTTTCATTGAAATTGCTTTAGTGGTATAAGAGAGGTAGTCCGGACAAACTTTAAAAATAAAAATAATTAAAGGGCCATAACTCTGCCAAAAATCATTGAACCGGAAAATGCTGACAATATGCACAATTAGACTTGGTACTAATCATTCCTGTAAAGTTTGGATGAAATTGCACCAGTAGTTTATGAGGAGTAGTCCGGACAAGTTTTGTGACGGACAGACGGACAGACAGACGGACAGACGGACAGAAAGACGACGGAGAAGTGATCCCTATATGTTGCCACTACTCCGTAGAGGCGACACAAAAATCAGGACAATAATTCACTAGTGTGCAACTATTTTACGGATTTTCATCATAATTGTTTGTGCAACTTAAAATTTTATGGGCAAAATAGATGTACATGTACCATTTAATAATTTCGTTATCTTTCAAAGACATCAAACAAGGTAAAATAGTAATAACATTACAAATTTGTTTTCATACATGTAAGATCTACAATGATATAATCCACATCTTTTAATTAAATTATATTCATAACGATAATACGTGATAGAAAAAAAAACACTAACATTTATTCAAATTCTATCATATTATACATACTCGTTATTAGTGTTGTTCAGAGAAATAGTTTTCCTTCCAAAGTTAGAGTTAAAACTTTATACAGCTCATAAAATACAATTTAATGTAATACTATGCATTTTAAAGATTATCAAAAATGTAAATCATGTTGAATAATGTTTTAACTAAAATTGTGTAACATTGTTTTCTATAAAATCGTCTGTTTATAACATTGTGTATTATCGATTTATTTTTGGGGAAAAAACATGCACATGCTGTAGAACATTGCAAGAAAAGACTTAAATAGCTCAACCAAAGCATTCTCCCTTAAAGCTTCACTTAAGATAAACGTTAGTGGCATATCAATATCTATAAAGACCCTAGCAACTAATGTTTTATTCCTGAATCAATCATTTCTAACATACAATATATGAGAAAAGTTTATAGGTAAAATCACAGAATGTAAACTCATACAAATTATTTAAAATTTAAAGCAATATTCAGCGTATAAAATTAGCCTAACAAGTAAAAAATCAACACCGTTCGAAATTCGAATTCAACGTAGTTAAGCTTAAAATGTAGACTTTTTTGTGATTAATACACGTAAAGAATTTTTGATAATTCTATCAAGTAAATAATGTTTTGTCAATGATTAGTCAGTATGTAGTTCACAAAAATCATAGTCATTGTTTCCTGGTCGCATTTTCTTTTCGGTTGCAGTGTCATATAATGTATTAGCTTTGTCATTTCCATGCTTATCCCCATTGTTGGAATTAAATACAGCATAATCGTTGCTTGGATGAGACATTGTTTTGTGTTTCCCTCCTTCTGCAGAGTCGTAAACATCATCTGGTTGTGTCAGGTTTGATTTGCCGAAGCCTTTAGTGTTGTCAGATCTTACACTTAGTACGGCATATTCATTATTACTACTTAAAGGTTGTTTGTTCTTTTTGTTGTCATGCGTTGTATCATATACGTCCTTAAAACATTCGTTTTCTTTCACAGTCGACTTCCCTTTGTTTACCACAGCATAATCATTGTTGCCACTTAACGGTTTGTTATCGTGTGCAATATCACAAACCTCAAAACTCTTACTTTTCTCATTTGCAGATGTTCCTATGTTTACCGCAGTATAGCCATTGTCAATAGCAGGTATTTTTTTATCACCGTCATATGCAGTTTCATATTCTTTCCCGACATCACCTCCAGCTTCCTGTTTTGGTTTGAAAGGCTTGGCGTATATAACACCTGGAATAAACGACATAAAATTGAGTATAAGACATGTATATAACACAAAAGTGAGCATATTATCAATATAAAAAAGTTACCCCAAAAGGTAATTGACGCTCCACAATATTTATATTGTTTTTAGTAAAAACCGAATTTCTTAATGTACATTGTCAGATGTTATGTCCCAAAGAATAATTATAGAATGTAAAACATAAATATTCTAACAAACCTGGTTCGTCAGTTTGTTTTTGAATATCTTTCATATCAAGTACATAATCGTTTTCTTCACATTTTGTATTGGAAGATAATTTTTGTCTGAAAATAAAAAGTAAATGTACTGTTTAGTATTTGAATATAAACATGCACTGAAAGCGGTAATTTTGTCCCTTAAACTTGTCTTGATAATCTGCAGAAGTTCTTGAACCAGAATTTTATTTTCATATTTCAGATTTAGCTGAATACTGAAATCTTGACTTGCGTAAAATTTTGTTTTTATCTTATGACTTAAAAAAAACATGTGCTTTGTCGTAAATGAAACATTCGACAAACATTAACTAACGTAATAAAAGACATATACAAATGTTATTTGACTCATACTATTGAACCAATCCAACTATAGTGAGTACCTTCGGTTCCGTTTTATAATACAAATTACTAAAATCACCAGCAAGACTATAACAGCAACACCAGCGCCGGCAGATGCTGCAATAATGACAAGTGAGTTCTTTTCTTCCGATTCATCACCTTTGATAGCTAAAGATAAAAAAACATTTAAATTGAGTTCTAATTTATTGAAACGAACAAAGTTGACACATTCATAAAAGGATACTTCAAAAGTAATAGGACTGCGGCTTTTATGTTAACATCTTTTAATTTACGAACACAATTTTACAAGAGACAAATAAAGCAACACATCCACCAAATCAAATAATGGCATGAAAAAAAGTAACTATTCACTATGAAGACATGAAATTACGTGGTAGTATAATCAAATATATTTAATATCTAAATTTACCCAGACCACATTTCGGTCCTTCATATCCGTCAGTACATCCATACAGACATTCGGCTGTAACCTTGTCACAAGTTACATTTACACATTGACTGCTGCATTTATTGTCACATTTTTCGCCATAGAATCCGTCTTTGCATCCAAACAAACAATTTCCGCTAACATCATCACATGTACGGTTGTTTTCATTCTTCGACTGACATGTAGCAGCACATGTATTGTTGCAAAACAATCCGTAGTAGTTTATTGCACATCCTTCTGAGCAATGTCCCGTTGTCCAGTCGCAACCTTTATTGTTACAAGCTTCACTACAATTTTTCTTACAATATTCCCCGTAATTGGTCAGTAATTTACATCCATGTAGACATTTCCCTGTATCCAGTGTACAGACTCGGCCATTGCCGGTATTATTGCAATTAGTGCTACAGATGTTTGAGCAATTATGTGAGAATACATTATGATTGCACTCATAACATGTCCCAGTGTGTTGGTCACAAACTTCACAGTTTTTTGCGCAATCTTTACATATACTATGGTTATATCCAAAAGGTATGTCTAGGTAATATTTACTGTCACATTTCGTACAACCCTGATAAATACCTGATTTATTTGTGTTACACACTTGGCAATGTTGGTCTATTTCATGGCACAATCTGGAACAATTAACTCCATATGATCCATTTATACATGTGTCACAAAATTTCCCGACAAATCCCGATTTACACTCAAAGCATCGACCATCAGTACGTGAACAATTTCCATTACAACCAGATGGACAAGTATTTGTACATCTTTCACCGTAAAGGCTGGTCTTACATTCGGTACAGTTTGTCGCCGAAACACAAGCAGAACAATTGTCCGGGCAATTTAAATCACAATTGTTATCCTTACCATGAATTCCATGTGAGCATGTGTCACATCTATCACCAATATAACCAGATTTACATCCGTTCATGCAATGCCCTGTTCCTTTATTACATGTTCCATCGACACAACCAACTGAACATCTATACTGACAATATGATCCGTAAAACACCGTGTTTGTACACCTTGAACATTCTGTGGCTGATATGCAAGTGTCACAGTTACTAGGGCATGTTTCATTACATTTAACACCATACTTATTACCCGAACAAGCGCATTCACCAGACAATATATTGCATGTGTTATTAACACAACCTTTACCACATGATAAAGTGCATTTGTTAGTATAAAAACCAGCTTTACAGTTTGTACATTCATTACCATTAACGCAGGTTTTACAGTTATCCAGACATTGTTTTGTGCATTTCTCCGTGTAATAACCATCTATGCATCCTGTTAAACACTTGTTATTTGAGCCACATGTAAATGAGGGATCCTTACAACACATGCACTCTTGACAAGCCTGCATCGATAATCCTGAAATATAAATGCTCGATCATGCAAACTTAATTGCCTGCATTTGGCTTACTTTCTTTTAAGAAATAAAATAAATTAAGAATATTAAAGGATTGTGTTCGCCTATTTAATGTATAATTTGAACTTGTATCATACAAAGATAGTTTGAATAAAAAATGACGGTTTGACATAAATAGAAGTTATTGAATGAGTGTAAGCTTAATACTGAATTTATTGAACGAGTTGAATAAAATTATATTATGCGAGCCTCTGGCGAAGTGCAATAAATTCAGTAATGAACTTACACGATTTTATATTCGATTTATCACATACCCAAAATAAAGACCGTTAAAAGCGAAATAAGAGTCATTTTTCATTGACGCACCTATAACATAACGCTAACATTTAGCGCGTCTTTACACTTTTTCTGTATAACGCTAATGACGTCACGACAAAATATATGCACGGCCGCCAAATACCATTTTTACGGAGTCGCAAAATCGGCACAGTGTGTGATAAAATCGGAATTAACAACAGATTAAAACTACTAGTATTCAAAATATTACACAAATAAATTTCATTTTTATACAGTAAAACTAAATATAAGGTCTATATCTTAGAATTTATTTAACATCTACGGCTGCATGTACTAGCTTTTTAAAAAAATTCATTTATTTCTAAAAAGATATAATCATTTGCATTTCTGTAATTATATTAGTGTTTATTATTGTTTATTATTTATTATTAAATTTGTTTACTTGTTTTAGGTATTACATGTAATACAGAGACTTAAAAATTAAGAGCTAAGTATTTTAATATGTCTTACCAAACTGGCAAAGCAATATTAGAAACACTGGTGATATTGTTCCACTCATTGTTGCACACGTGAACCATTGAACAGAGATGTTTGAAATGCTCTTCAATTATAATCTTTAAAAAAAGCAGTTCAATAATTCAACAAGTCTGTATCACTATACTGTAATTTTCATCCATATTGAAAACTTGGTTTATATACATGTGTATCTAGATCCAATGCATGTATCATATGCTTAGATACTACTCAGCAAAAAAACAATCTGTATACTACTAAAAATGTGATCCGAAAAGACTTTGCGTGCAGTATGCCTTTATTAAATGTAGTGTTTGAATTCGACAAGGTATATGTTGAAATCGTTATTATAGGGGTATCCCGATGATCTAAAATCTGTACTGCTTCAGCGCCTCATGAAATCCAAGTTCCAGATCATAACACTTCTACATATCATATTGTTTTAAATCCGAGAACATAAAGAAAAAAACAGATTCAATTAATATTATTCATAACAATGATGATCAGTTCAAAGAGCTTATTCAACAAAATGTTGCTTTTAACGTTTAAGCATTTTAACAATTTATACATAAAAAATAAAGTAAATTGTCTATGACTTACTTGTTTGGTTAAGCGTGAATTCAACAAATGTCCTAAAACAAGATAACATTAAAATAAACAAAACATAATGTAAATGACTGAAACAATTTAAAAAGAATTAATACCAAATGAACGATTAAAATTGTTTACTTCATATTCAAAAGATAGGTATTCAATAGATAAGTATTCGTTTATTTGATAGATAATGATCAAATTAGCACAAATAACAATAGATGCCTATTGTCTAACATTTAATCATAAATTTTAGACATATTATTACAATACTTTGTATTATTCAAACCTGTAACATATGTCAGAGTTAACTTATTTCGAATAATTTAGATAAACATATCCAACACGTAATCAATGCAATCTCAAACAGTTTTAATAATTATCGGATATATAAGTGGTCTTCCTTTTCTACTTAATTGCTGTAAATTGTCGCTAAAGTAGGATGGGTCACCTATTATTGCAGGTCCTATAACCCACATTGTCAACTTGTCTCTTATCCAAAGTGTAGATCCTGATGATCTTAAGACTGCTAGAGTTGTCCCCCTTTTTAAAAAGAGTTGGTAACTACAGGCTTGTGTCAATTTTAAATGTAGTATCCAAGATTCTTGAAAAGGTTTTTGGGTCTAAACAAAAACTCAGGTCACATTCCATTTATTTATCTATTTACTTTTTTTATTTTGTATGCTGTACACATTCTTATTTCCTACAAAATCATTTGAAAATTGTACATTTTATAAAAGATGAACACGAATATAAGATAACGTTATTGAATCCTTTTAGAAAAAAAATAAATGAAATTGTTTGTGCTGTGTAATCTGTTTATGGCAAAGTATTTATTTTTGATAAAGAAGATACAATAGTTTAAGTTACTATTAATATAAAGTATGTACTAAAATTTGTTCCAAGTATTTATAAAAAAACGACATGAATTACCGATTTCTTTCTTTCAAATTGAATACCAACAACGTTATAACAACAACATGAAAGAGGTATTGATACTTCCATTACATCCCTATTTAATGTTGCCAAGTTTTTCACTTCGATGGTAGTATATGTACATGGTACATCTAAAACACTGAATTTTATATTAAAATGTCAAAGATCAAGTATTGCATAAGTTGGTGTTACGAACTTACTGTACTTGTCAGATATGTTGCAATTGCCATTATCTCTTACAACTTCGACTTTGTAATTACCACTTTGTTGATCTCCTATTTTCAAATATTAGTTTTGTAACAAGTAAACAAGTATTTCCGATCATTGCATCACGGTACAGAATATTTTTTTTCAAATCGGAATATGATAAATTAAGCTTTCTAAAAGGTAAAGCAATTGTTTGCTTTGCAATTTGGGTTTCGGTGACTCTGTTAATCACTACACATAATTATTTTCCATGAGTTTCATATGTTAGTTAACTATATTATATGTTAACTTAAAACTAGATCAACATAGATATCATACGTAATGATATATTCAGTTGGTTACAAGTATAAATTTGTAATGCCGATAATTTTGAATGTTAAAAGTGAAACAGTTTCCTCGTTTCTCTTTTAATTCAATTAAATCCCAGATCCCGTTCTTTACACTCCACCGCCAACCTCACCTCGTCCCATTCATCCTACCAATTAAATCGTCGTTATCTCATAAATTGTTATAACATCTAATGAATCTAGTGTCTTTGCCGAAAAAATAGAATGACAATTATAGCTCTCACTGGCGATATTAAATTATTAGAATAAAACAGTATTCTATAAAATATTTAAAAACCTATCTACGTATTATATTTTAACAAAATTCAGAGACAAAATATTACTTATGTCATATTATATCCCAGTACAAGTAAAGATTGTTAAGTTAATAAATCTAGAAAGCAGAGATCACCCGAGATCCAGTAAATCAGAGCAAATAGTTGACAATTACAGGATTGGTTTTGTCAAGTGTGATCATAAGAAATAATACGATATGCAATTTAAATGCTTAATAATCCAACAATACATACAGAAAGCAAATGATGTCTGATAGCGCTGGCGGAAGTTTACAATGATTATCATACAAAATCATCTTTACTAAAGATAGGAAGACAAACTTCAACAAAATATTGCTTAAGCAGATATTGAATATATAGATAAAAGGTTAAGTAGTAACAATTATACTTAATAGATAATAATAAATTGTAATTTATATTTCTAAAAGCCTGATTAGCTTATATTAATGATTTAAAAATAATTGAAAAATGAAGTTCTACATATTCTGTTTATAAATACTCTATTCGCCCCAATTATGTTTATGTGATCAAATTAGCTTAAAACGCACCACTAGTCTTAATAAATTTACCACGGCCATTTTGATAGAAACAGTGTACATATATAATATATGCATGCATTTAAAATTAGTTAAATTTTATCTATAAAATATTTCACATATTTTAAAGGGACCATATCCAATACGTTCTCATTACAGTGCCAACATATATTTATATCAACATTTTTAACAATCGGTTTAAATACTTTAGCTTGGGTTATAAATATTTTATCATAAGATGTACCATTATTATCAAACATAACTCCTTAATATAAAATCTTTAAAATAAAATACCTCTTTTATTACCGCATATCCAAGAGATTTAGTAAACTACCTCTCACGTGAATATCTTTGAAAAACACAAAACACACTTCCTTGTTGTACGTCATTCGAAAAGAAGCGCATATTTATATTTTTTTTATTCTACTTAACTACACAACGTTAATTTAAAAAAGACAAAGCGGATAATGTTACAGCAAAACGAAGTAAACGGGATTTGAAAAGGCAATAAGAAATATATATAAACACGCATCGTCACACCTCTTTTGAATTTAAATCATATCATAATGAGTTTATGTATTTCGATTATTAAATTTAATGTACATTCGGATCACATGTATACGAGGTATGATCAAAACGTTCTTGACCCGATATACTTCTAGCCACTATACTGACATTTACACACGATATGTCGATACCGATATCTTATTGAAAATTACTGACCGAGTTACACGCAGTTTTACACATATTAAGTAACATAAAACATACTTTGATCAGTAGAGGGATGTGTCATTTAGGCCAAATGGAGAAAGTTGAAATCAGAGCCGTCATTAAATACCTCTGTAAGAAAGGGATGCCCCCAAGGAAATCCATGAAGACTTCATGTTTACACTTGGGAAGAAGTCCCCTTATTATAGCACTGTGAAGAGATTGGCTGCTAAATTTAAAAGGGACAGGGATAGCATTTGAGATGATGAGCGGCCTTGACGGCCAAAGGAGACCACCAACAATGAAACTGCCGAAGCTGTGCATGATCTGGTCATGTGCGAGAGAATGCTTGACCTACGAGGCATTGCTAGGGAAGTGGTTAAAGCTTTGGTTCAGTTCAGGCAAGTCTGACTGACGTCTATGGCATGTCAAAGGTGTCCGCTAGATGATTGGTCTCCAGACAGTTGACTGACGACCAGAAACGGACTATGCTTGACATTTTAAGATATCTTTGTTCTCTTTACGAGGATGAACCTGATTATATCTACCGGCTCGTAGCTCACGATGAAATATGGGTCCATCACTTTGATCCAGAATCCAAAAAGCAGAGCATGCAGTGCAAGCACCCAGGATCACCCCCTCCGAAGAAATTCAAGAGGGTACCATCAGCAGGGAAGATGATGGCTTCAATTGTTTTGTGATAGGGGGAAATCATAATTGACTATCATGAGCAAAGTTGTACCATAAACGGTGCGCAGTATGCAGACGAATTGAGACGTCTGTGTTAAGAAAATGCGCGTAAAAGAAGGGGCAAACTGACTCCTGCACGGCGATGTACATGCTCACACATCTCAAATTGCGATGGCTACCGAAACTGACTGAATGTGTTGGCATTAAATCTATATTAAGATAATGTGGAAGAAAAATGTATTACTTATAAAAATATAAATTCTATTTTTTCAGAAAATTCACTTAAAATAATTCAATTTAAGAAATTTGAGTTTATACAGAATCATTTATTCTTTTATTTTTATTACCTTTATTGTATGTTCGTAACATATTTACGCAAAAATTCTTTTTTTTGTGCAACTAAATAAATCTTCAAAGTAAATATATTTAATCAAGCATTGCTTTAAATACAAAGTTTTTGCAAACTTAAACCTAGCCCGTTTTGCTAAGCCATCAAGTGTTCTTTGGTAATTTTGTATATTTTTTAATAATCGGTAATGAAATGAATGGATTTTTTGCATAAGGTCGTTAATAATTTTTTTTTGTCAAACATAATTAATTATTTCTAGACATGGATATGAAAAACAAGCAGACAAACATGGATACGAAAATACACCTGTGCCTGGTGAATATTGTCCCAAGGGTATTTCTTTAGTAATGATTCTTTCATGAAGATGGTTTGATATACACGTCTTAATCTAATTTATTAATGTAACTGAGGGAAATTTAGTTTTATTTACTAGTGTATCAAAACAGTACTATATTTATGAGTATGTACCTTACACTTTTTGTCTCGAAATGAGTAAACAAAAAAAAAAACATTAAGAAAGAAAGAAATACAGACAGAATTCTTTAATAAAAGATAACAGTTACTATGAATAATTAGAAATGTTGGTTTAAAGGTGAAAATCGTTACGTGTAATGTATGCCCAAAATAAAGAGATATGAACAAACGGGAATCTTTATATTTCTTCCAGACAACGCATATGACAGCGATTTTCATGTTACATACGAAGATTTGAAATCACGTGACAAGAGATTATACGGTCAGATAACTACAAGTCAATAGATATCACCACCAGTAGCTGATTATGTTAACTATAACTAAACAAATATACTTATTATGATTTACAATTGTACGATACAAACTCTTACAGCTTCAACATTTGGATAAAGATATTTTTTTCTTTTATTCATTTGTACGTATATA